AGGAGGTGTTGTGGGGCAAGGGAAAGAGCTGATCAGCAGGGCCCGCATCTGCTGGTTTTTTTCATTACATATTCGAGTACCAGAACACCCATGGAATTGGTCCCTATGACTACACCACAGAAACGTATTTCTCACACCCCTCGGAAGCAGTGCAAAGGCTTGCGGGGAGTCAAAAGTAACAGAAAAGCTGAGGAAGAGGGAAGCAACTGCTAGGAAGGAGCCTGGAATTGAATCTGTGGGGTTTCTGAGTATTGGTGACAGAATATAGAACAGTGGGTTTTTTTGTGGAGGGAAGATTGCTAAAGAGTTGGAGAGCCTCCCCCACCCCTGACTCCACGTGGCCTTGCATTCCCCTCAGCTGTCCCCATCTGATTCTACACTCTATTCAGTTGCTCCCGCTAGCCCTTCTGAACCACTGTCTGTGTGATCTCTCAGCAGTCCTGTGTGCCCTGCCCTAACTGCTTCCTTTTCCTGCATCTGCCTCCCTCCAATATCCCATGTCTCCTAATCTGGCCTTGAAGGTGAGGTGCTGTGAGGAATGCAACCAGCTGCTAGTTGCTACTGCCTGGCTGTACTCTGTTCTGGTGCCATAACAGTCCCTTGTGGGCATAACTACAGCACTTCTCTGGCTGAATTGTATTTTCCACGAAGGAAAATATCTGCAGGGGAATTCTGCATATGCTCAGTGGTGCAGAATTCCCTCAGAAATATGACTTTCTAGAATCGAACCACAAGTTTCTGATCTACAGCTCTTAATCAACAGGTGTGCAACAAAGGCTAATTACTAACAAGGAAATTACACAGAAAGAACTGACTTCTGAATTTGGGCATTATCACAATTCATGAATGCAATAAATCAATTTACAAAGAAGTTTCAGAGGGGTAGCCATTTTAGTCTATTTCAGCAAAAATGAGGAGTCCCATGGCACCTTAAAGATTAACAAATTTATATGGGCATAAACTTTTGTGGCCTAGAACCCGCTTTGTCACTGATGTGGCTTCCACCCCACGAAAGCTTATGCCCAAATAAATGTGTTAGTTTTTAAGGTGCCACAAGAGTCCTTGTTTTTACAGATAAGCAGTGTTCCCTTTACTTTTTCCTAATTCTGAGCAGAATTAATTGTATTATGTGCACCAATGTGGAAGTGATAAGCAACACATCACTTTCATATTGATATACATAATAAAATTCATGGCCTAATTTCATGGTTCATGGCCTAATTTCCCCTCTTTCACATGCTCCTCCCTATTTGGGGGGATTATGGCTTCTGTATATTAATGGATTCCCCAGCGTTCTCTTTCTAGATACAGTCTTGCTATCTGATTTAATTACTCTGAATATGGCACGTTTGAGTTAAAGGATTAGTTGGAAGAGCAATGAGCAGGCAACATTCCCAATTTCTATACAGGAGGGTATAGCATACCTTTGCTTTAATTTAATTTCCATCCTCAAAGGGAGTAGCAATCAGGAAACTTTCACTGGAATAATTAATTTTAATTGTGTTTTATATTTCAAGTTATTTGCCTAAAAGATAGGCTGATTCTCATTAGCTGAGAACCGTTAAAATATGTCATTTGCAACTTGACTTTACACAAATGTGTTATTTCTTTGTGCTAAACAAGAGGATAAATATGCATGGATATAGCTTCAGATAGCTTCTTATTCTTACATTTTCATGTTAGAAAATGATAAATTGTGCATTTTTTTTACTGTATTGATTTTTCACTGGTGATCTGAGTCAAGCGTATTTTGGACAAACATTCAAATTTAACTAATTCAGAATGCACAAAAGAAGATTTAATTTTTATGCTGAACATAAGAAAAAATTAATGAAAAGATGTTTTTCATTTAAAACCCATCGATTTATTTAAAAAGCAATTAGAATCTGTAATAGGTGAATTTAACTGTTTGTTTATCCCTCAAGATTTTAGGATTACAGGGTGTCCCCACTATAAGTCGCCCCGGTATACATCCTTCCGCATTAAAGTCATTGATGTTGTAGTTACAGGTGTTATAAGTCCTCATATTCCCCGCTGTTAAATCATGCAAAAAAAAAAATTATTTGCACAAATGGAAGTCAGCTGTAGGAAAAAAATTCCCCGGCTTTAAGTCTACGTTTTTTCAGATGTATCTTGGACTTATAGCAAGGATGGCCTAATAGATGATATAATCTTCTCAGTCGTAGTTTTTTTTAATTTATAGATCAGAGGACAAAAAACAAAAAAACAAATAAAACAAGCTTCTTTGCTTCTCCCAACTGGTTTCTTAATTTTGAATCGACCAGTCAGCTAACAAAATTAGTTAAATAAATTCAAATGAAGAAAACACTCTCTCTACAGTTACAAGAGAGGCTACTGCTGTCAAATGTTGATTTAGCACTTCCAGGTGCTTAGCTAGTAACTGACATTGGTTCAATGATCTGACTTTAAAACTTGACAGCAAACAAAGACAACTTTATTTAAATTATTTTAATATATTTTATAAATATGTTTAGGCCTGAACATATGTTGTCATTTTCAAATTTAATTTTTAAAGGGTTTATTAAAAATAAACCCATATTTAATTTAAATAATCTAATTGAAATTAAAAATAGGGTTTGGGTTTCTTTGTTTTTTTAAAATAACTGATTTTCAATCAATCCTCATCAAATATATGCAGATGAATTAAACATAGGGAAACAGAATTTAATATTTAAAAAATACTTCTTTTTACCTTCCTGAAACTACCAGAGTTCCATCATCCAGCAGATAATCCTTCACATTCTGCGGCAGTGGAAGTATAGCACTGAACAAACAAAAGGCATAACATTTTTCAGAATAATTAAGGCTAAATAAATTAAAATGTCGCAACAATAGTCCACATCTTTTTACCTCTGAGAAGACAAACACAAAAACACAGACAAGTTGTTGTATTCTATCCCAAACATACACCCTTCCCCCCCCCCCCAAAAGAAAACCCCAACAAAAATACTTTTTCAAGCCAGTTCCTCAGGTGTATTGGCTCCAGCAGAGCTACCACCCCTTCCTCCTGCCTCCCAGAATGGCAGTGGGAGGTTGCAGGCAGGAGTGCTGCCTCTGTATCAGAAGCAGCAGCGGCAGAGTGGCAGGCAGGAGCCAGTCTGAATGGGGAGCCGATTTTTAAACCAGCTCCCCTCATGGACTGGCTTGACCTGCTGCTGCACTCTGCCTCTGACACAGAGGCAGCAGTGGAGGGTACCTGGGGGCTCCCTGGGAATGGAGCTGGGAGCACACTGACTGCCAGCCCCACCCCCAAGGGAGTATTTTAGTAACCGCATAACCGCAAAATATTGTTGTGGTTACACAATTACTGAAACACACGACATCTAACATCCCTCATGAAAAGGTGTAAGCTTTCCACAGAGTAGTCACTCCATGCCCTGCCCCTTCTCCCTCCCCAACCCAACCTCAGTGTACTCCCCTACACTCAGGAGCCACTTCTTTCATATCAATCTCTCTAGATCTCTAATTGCCGGGTGCTTAAACTGGAGAACAGGGAACGGATCACACCATACTTTCATCGCCCTGTTCTGTTCATTTCCACGGAGGGACTGAGCACGAGCCCTTGTCAGAAGACAGGATGCTGGGCTAGGCGGGCCACTGGTCTGAGTCATCTACCGTCAGCCAGCCCTTCCATAGCCTCCCCCCTCCAGCCCAGCTCTTCCATGCCCTGCCCCACACAATGGCCCTGCCCCACAACTCCATGTTCTCCCTCAACACTCCCTGGGCAGCTCCCCCCACGCCCTGCCCCCAAACCCTCCATCCCCTGCCCCCAAAACACCCGCCCCC